CTTGCCTTTACTTCAAAAAACAAATAATTTTGCTGGTATGTACTCTTTTACACTATATACATTTTATTCTACTCTCTAGTGATCAAACAAAACAATCAACCACAACTGCAACAACCCTAGACACTGCAGCAACAGATCATAAATTTAACAACTTTCCATGTTTTCTTGATTTATTTATAGCAATCCTGGAAATGCTTCTTTGTGGGCGCTTCTGTCCAGAGTGGTTCCACAGTACTACCCTAGAAAGGCAAATGTAAGCCTGTGTACTAAGCCTGACAAATCAAATATGCTCAAACACATTTGGTTCATTGGGGTTCATGTTTTTCACTTGTTTATTTCACAGGGTGCTGCAGTAGCTGGCCATGTTGCCTGTCTCTCCAGTATGACCCAAGGAAAGGTAAAAATGTGACTTTTATCTTATGTCTTGTGTTCTCCGGTAAACCTTTAAAAAAATCTAACTGGCCCATTTAATTTAGCAGTAATTTCTTTTTCTCAGTTTTTGTACATTGTAGACATATTTTAAAACTTTTAAAAACCGAAACATCCAAAAGGTATATTTTACCCATATATTCACATTGTTTGCATGTTAAACGGTTGACGTAACTTGTGTGACTGCAGAGGGCGTTGTTGTACAGTGGAGTGAACCAGCTGGCCAGTGGCAGACACTCTGGAGAGGACAGTCAGAAGAATGCATTGAAGACTATGCAGAGAGCTGTGCTGCTCTGTCCTGGTAAACACACACATTATTTTCTTACACACGATAAACATGATATTCTTTTTATTGTCTTTTAAAGCTGGAAATATAAATAACAAATACAATTAAATTTTTTTTTAATTCTCTAATTTAGAACAATTAAATTCAATTAGATTGAGGAAATACATTTCCTTTTCTTGCCAGGAAGGTTTGTTAATGTTTATTTATATCAGTGGAGTGTAACCTTACCTATATAGAAAAAATGGCTGTTTTGCATGTGACATTTATTGAAGAACACGGGTGTGTGAGATACTTGCTTATACGTATTTGAGTCGTCATTCTGCTCTCTACTTTAGATGATCCAGCAACGTGGGCCGGATTAATGGCTGCTTGTTACACCGAAAACACTTCCTGTTATCTTTCTGGTTCTGCTCCTCGCAGACAAGCGCTGCAGCAGACCCTTATGTCTGTGGTTTCTGAGAAAGGTATGCTCACTGGTGCTCTTTTACTGTCGCCCCATTTGTGTACTTGTCTCTGCGTATTTGACTGTGTAGCTAACACCTTTTTGCGGTTTTGTGTCTCAGTGCGTAGTGTGGATGAAATAGAGCGGCCTCTAGCTCAGGCTCTGGAAGGATGGGTACTACAACAGGCAGTGACTGGTCTCATGCTGGAGGGACAGCTAGAGCAAGCAGAGGTCCTTTGCACACAGGTAGGATATTGGGGACTCACACACACTGTGTGCACACCTCTAACTTTGTCTCCAAAACACTGAGGTACACTGAGCTGAGCTGTCCCTCAGATAGCCATTTCTAATCTTGTCCATTCTGGCAATATATTTAACTCTGCCACCTTTGACACAGTTTTACCTTTATCACAGGTCTTGAATGTGTCCCCTGAGCATGCAGCAGTGATGTTATCACTGAGGCAGGTACAGTGTCAGCGCCTCCTTATGACTGATGGTGGTACTGTCCTCCCAGAGCCTGTGTTGGAGCAGCTCAGCAGTGCTGTGATGATGAACCCTACCAACCTTGGGGCATGGCATGTAAGCGTTTACATTTACCCGCTTATCCATTTAAAGTACTCCAGCAAGGCTAGAGTGACTAAGTGATGATCTCTTCTTTGATTTCAATTACCAGTATTTTAATTGTAAGTTTGAAAACCGCTAAAAATGGAAACATAGATATTTCAAAAGATAAGACAGCATATTGGAAAAAAAGGTTTTGCTCTCATGCTAAAATTATGTTATTTTTCTCCTCTACTGCCATTTTCTCTTGCTTTCACTGAGACTCTGAACATTCTTTACCTCACTTGAAAACCTCAAATTGCTGAACTTAACATCAAGTAGTTGCTACCAGTAACAGGGTAGCAGCAAAAGCCTTGAACATATTGGCAGTTGGTGCTACCGTGTGACAGTATATATGTGGAGAATGAAAAATATAGCATTTGAGCTTCATTATTAATATTCTAATGAAAATGTTAATATTATGTAGTTATAAGTATTCTTCTAGCCATGTTATCTTTTGATTAGATGAAGATAATGGCATCTTAAAACAGTAATTATGCTTATCCTCTCATATTTTCTCCCCCACCTGTCACTCAGTGAATTCTTGTCTCTGATCCAAATCATCTTCATTCATTTTGTGACTCCTCTGTTCTTCTGCTTCCTTCTGCTCAGTGGCTGGCTGAGGTGTATCGCAGCCAGGGCCTACTGGTTCAGGCGGTCATGGCTTACAGACAGAGTCTCCAGCTGGCCTCGCAGCTTGGCATGCACAGCTGTCAGGTAGCCAGCCTCCTCCGACTAGCCCTGCTAGCTCTCGGGCCTTGTATGGTAAGTATATGTTTGGGATTCAAATCAGGATCTACAATTTTAAGGTGTGAAATTACAGCTATTAAAGCAGGATTGTACTGTAGCAATACAAACAACAAATGTTATATTGCATTATTTAGGGAATAATGTATTTATTTGTTCCAGAGGTAGCATTTTAGCAATAAGGACTCAGTTGTGTTTCATAAAAATTACAAAATTCAATGAATACACACAAAAAGCCAGAGTCGGCTCTTTTTTTACACCCCTGTCAAGTAAGGACAGATTCAAAGTAGAGGAGATAAAAGATTGATGAATCATAGGATGAGCAGCCAAGGCTAAGTGGCTGACAAGACGCTATTGCTAAATAGAGCTTTTTGCTTGTATCCAAAGTTAGTGCATGTGTTACACATGTTGTTTGGAATTAATGTAGCTTGACGTATTACACCTTTACTAGATGTATTTATTTTGTGCAGATTTCTCTTTCCTAGTTTTCTCTGAACCATGTGTGATCTGACTTCTAAGGTGGGTGTCCCAGGAAATGACTGGAAGGACTTGGTGCTGGAAGCTACTACTGAGGTCTTGAAGCTGGACTCATCCCCTGTGGCCCTTCTTTTCCAGGCTCTGCTCCAGTTTGTGACAAAGATGGCTGCTAGGTCGGTGCAGCTCCTTATGCTAAGTTTATTTATGTACATAGAGGTGCAGGTTGCAGTGCTGTTGGTCAGCCCACATAGCCATGCAAATGATTTTATCCCTGTAGATGTTTAATTTAACGGCTTAAGTGATTAAATGAAACATAAGATTCTTAAAACTTCAAATCCATGCTTCCATCTGTCTTTTCAATATATTGGTACTTTTGGAACTGCAAAGCAACATTTTATGTCCTGGTAGTATTATAGCATTCTGTCACCCTCAGAGGACTGCCAGTACGGTTAATTAGAGTACATTCATGAGAATGCTGAGCTGAGCAGATATGCCAACCATGACCTGGCTAAATTCCTTGAGAAATGCTGCAGAAACTTCTGTGCCAAGCATAATCACAGTATCAGGAGCTCTTTTCATTTCATTTCATATTAGTCAATACTGATGGAAGAGAGATAACAGTTACAGTATCAGGCCAGACTGAGGTGGAGCAGGTGGAGACAAGTATCTGGGTGATTTGTGACAGGATAGCAGATAGTAGTTAGACCTGCTATGACGTACGGACAAGGGCCCCAACAAAAAGACAGGAGTCCAAGCTGCAGTTGGACATCAGAGGAATAGCTCATGTCGAGTGTTTTGGAGACAAAGTTGGAGAGGCAAGGCTGAGATACTTTGGACATGGGCTGAGTAGAGATTGTGGATACATTATTGTGGATAATGAACTGCCATGTAGGAGGAAAAGGGGAAGACAATAGAGAAAGTTTATGAATGTAGTGAAGAAGGACATGCAGAGGGTTGGTGTAACAAAGGAGGATGCTGGGGATATGGTAAGATAGAGGCAGATGATCCTCTTTGGTGACCCGTAAAGGAAGCATCCAAAAAAGGAAGAGAAACATTTACATGGGAACAGGCTGCCTAAATGGTAAATGGCCTGCATTTGTATAGCGCTTTTCTAGTCCATAGGACCCCAAAGCGCTTTACACTACATTCAGTCATTCACCCATTCACACACACATTCACACACTGGCAATGGCAAGCTACATTGTAGCCACAGCTGCCCTGGGGCGCACTGACAGAGGCGAGGCTGCCGGACACAGGCGCCACCAGGCCCTCTGCCTAATGGATAGCAATCATGTTATACGTTTGTTCATGTCTGCTGTGTCTTCTATAGGGAAACAAGACGCTTGCTGGAGAGGCTGGTTTACATTCAAGATATACCAGCGACAGTGGTGCAGGTGGCCAGTTGGTATCTCCTGAGACACCTGCATGCCAAAAACGACGAGGAACTCATGAAGGTGAACATGCAGCTACCTCATTCCTGCAGACACCACTTAGGAACATTTGTTTGGGAGAAACGTTTGTGGAAATGGTGACAGCATACACATAGTTAAACTAAAAGTGATTATTCTTGGTCCTTGCCTTTGTAATCGTTTACCACCACTTCTTTTTGCAGGTCCTATTGCAACATGCCAAAATGAACGGAGATCAAAGATTACTGGAGTTTCATTCAGTCCTCAACTCTTCATCCTGAACTTTGCATCCATCTCCTTATGCTTTATGAAATCACATTGCTTAGCAGGTTTATCACCAGACAAAAACCACCACTATCAGTGGGTCTTTAAATAATGGCTTTAATGGCTTTACATGATCTAATCACCTCAGTAAGTTGAAATTATGATTGTCACATATTTCAAAATGTGCTTAAAATGCAGGTACCGCATCCACATTCAAGGCTAAATAAAGACATTTTCTCAATATCTAACGATTGTCTCATCTTGATTACATGTAAACTATAAAAGACAGCAGTGTAAATTAGAATGAGCAGTGACTTTTAAAATTCACATAAAACTTTGTAAACAATATTCAAACATCCCTAAAGTTGAAGAAACAGAAGAAACTTTGAGTCATATGCATTTTTGAGCTTTTTTCTGACACTCTGCCGGATCATATATGTGAATCCATCCGTGTCACTCACTCTCAAACGCTAACTGGACATACATGTTTGCTCATAAGAATACAGATGTTTTGCCCACAGCCCCAGCATGGTGTCGTGATGTGTGGCGACTGCTGCTGCCTGCGTTTGCATAGTGAACACACGTCCAAAGCAGTAGCACCATGCACTACTCCACCCGGGACTGTGCTGGAATGGCTGATGTTCTTAGTCACCAGCTGCTGAAGTTCTGTCTGCACATTGTGTGGAGCCTTTGTAATGCCCACGACTGTCACTCTTTTGGGGTCGAACACACAGTCCTCTTCCAGGCCGCTGGGCACAGCTTTCATCCCACAGTTAGGGGGTACCCAAGCAGTGTCATATCCCTGCGTGCTCCAAGTGTACTGCATAGGATGGTTGTCCTTGTCAATGCGTTTGACACGGCCAACACGCACGTGTAACTTGAGGACCACACGGTCTGCAGGGCTGTTGTTCAATGGATAACGTTCTGCCTTTTTCTTATCACGGCTGACGTACACACCCTTTCCTAGCATGCCCCCCTGCGACTGCTGAAAGCCACTGGCAAGGATGAGACGTGCATTGGCAATGCTGGTACCATGGTACATGGTGTAGACACCCTTATCTTTCGGTGCCTGGGAGGCTGTCAGCTCCACACTGGGAGACTCATCATCATAGGTAACCTCCCATCCAAAGAACTGTAGCGACATCCTGCTTCACAAATGGCTGCTGTTTAAGCCCTGCAAAGACCAGAAACCATGTAAGGCATGAACATTAATGCCAGTAACTTATAACAAATTCAGGAGAGGTTCGGGGCATACAGTTTATTGCACATAGCTCAGGACTTTGACCTCAGTGAATCAGATTGGGTCAAATGTTAATTGTGACAACGGCAACTGCATTGTTAGCTGTACAGATTTCAATATATAAGTCTACGTGACAAGAGAAGTACCTCGTTTATGTCAAAAAGTAGTCTATATTGAGAAAAAATAGCTGAAAACCCCCAAACCTTGACTGTAAGACAGCTGCTTAAAGTCAAATCTACAGTTAAAGTTACATAATGTATCCTAATATTGTAAACCTTACTGTATAATATAGCGAATTTGGTAGTACTGAGTATTTAGATGCCCAGAAAAGAACTAACATTATATGCAGAAATCAAACAATATTTGGCTAAATTAGCGTTGGCCGGTTTTGTGCCAAAAAGTGATTGTCTGCCAAAAACTGATTTCCAGTGTTTCTGTGTATTTTTTATGTGTAATATCTTTACGTATGTTCGTAAATAGACTTCGGTGAACAGGGGATACAAAGGGGTTACATAAAGAATTAAAAAATTATCTGTTTTTTAAGTATCTTTACAACTTGTACTTACATTATAACCAATCCGGTCCTTTATCCCCACTTAAAATATTTTTACAGAACTATTGTAATATTTGCTGCCATTTCTGCTGTCCTGTTGGGCAACTTACTCTTACAAAATACATTTTTAATGTTAATGAGATTTTTTTTACTGCATAAATAAAGGTTATATAAAAGTCGCTGCCAAAAACTGATTGCGGCTTGTATCTTGTTACACGAATGTTGTTTGTGGCTCAAGATGACTTTATGTCATCCATAAGGGATGCATTTGACATATGTTTAACATATTATAGCCCAACAAGTTACTTATAGCACTTTAAATATGAGCAATCGCTTTTTGGCAAATACCGGAAATCAGTTTTTGGCAGACAATCACTTTTTGGCACAACACCGGTTTTTATCCAACACAGTAGGACTCTAAGGTTTGTCATAAAAACTGAGTACCGATTACTCGCGATAAATACAACGAAATATCTGTACCTTGTGTCGTTTAGGCTGATTGAAGTTCACGAAGTTAAAAGTTAAAGCCTTTTGTGAAGAGCCGTCTGTTCTCTTTCACTTCCACTTTCTGTTCAGGTTTATAATGAGAATCTCCTCCCTTTAACTTTCAGTTTCCTATCAGATGTTCTGCCATGTAGGGTCTCAAAGTCACGCCCTACACTGGCCGGTTAGCTCAGTTGGTTAGAGCGTGGTGCTAATAACGCCAAGGTCGCGGGTTCGATCCCCGTACGGGCCACGAACTTTTTCACGTGTATTGTACTCGTAATTGTTCAAAGTGCTTTTAACAATGATGTTTTTTTTAAGCTATGTTATCAGTTAAACAGTTAGGCTCGAGTACAAATTACTTTTGCATACTGAGTCTTTGTAGAGCCACTTTTTTGTTGCCAAGTTTGGGGGGAAAAACAACAATATTGATACCAACACTGGTATTGGTTTTGGACTGATACTAGTGTGATTGGATCGATAGGATAAGATACCGTTATAGGTTTAGTATCGGCCCCAGTGCTTACTTGGTATCCAAATATTGCAACTAGACCACATTTAATTTCAGACTGATGAAATTGATTCTGTCTTATGAAAAAAGAAAAATATCTGGGACCATCTTTAATCAGTGTGAAGGAAGCGTGAGGGTGGCTGTGGCTACATTGTAGCTTACCATCACCAGTGTGTGAATGTGTGTGTGAATGGGTGGATGACAGGTTGTGTAAAGCGCTTTGGGGTCCTTAGGGACTAGAAAAGCGCTATACAAATACAGGCCATTTACCTTTGAAAAACAGTTTTTTTTTATTATCTTGAAATGACGATTTCCCCCCACGTCTTCAGCTTTGCCTATCGGCCACAGCTTCCAAGACTATCTCTTAGTGACACACAAATGGGAAATTACTTAAACTTAAAATATTCAATTCAATTAAATTTTATTTATACAGCACCAAATCACAACAACAGTCACCTCAAGTCGCTTTATATTGTAAGTTGAAAACTCTACAATAATACATACAGAGAAAAACCCAACAACCACACGACCCCATATAAGCAAACACTTTAGCCACAGTGGGAAGGAAAAACTCCCTTTTAATAGGAAGAAACCTCTGGCAGAATCTCGCTCAGGGAGGGCGGCCATCTGCTGCAAACTTTTGGGGTGAGAGAAGGAAGGCAGGATAAAAGACATGCTGTGGAAGAGAGCCAATATGTCTGTTCTAGTTCTTATTCTTAGAAGTCATCAGTTTATGGACTTTGATATGACAACAATGATATTTATTGTAATTCTTCTTTTATTTTGGTAAATACAGCAGATCACCTTTCTTGTTTCCATATAACAATAGCATGAATAAAAATCTAATAATCGAAGAGTGATACAGTCGGGATACGAAATTAACGTTTTAATAAAGTAAACAAGATACATCCAGCATTAACTATTGGAAAATATTGCACCAGCTGTGTCAGCTTGTCTGCTGTTGGCCCTGCTATGACACATTGGTTGATAAACAGGCACATGGACATCGCCTATCCAGTTTTTTCTACCTTACTGGACTGTCAAGGTCTTCCTGGACAGAAGTGCTTGGACATAAGAATGCAGAGGTTCTGCCCACACTTCCAGCACTGTTGCTTGATATGTTGGGCGCCCTGCTGTGTCTTTCTCTTGCAAAGGGGACACACATCAGCAGAATCACCATCTCCTCTTCCAGACTTTTTGGATGTTTTTGCAAGAAGCTCCTGAAGCTCTGTCCTTATGGTGGTATCTGGTGCATCTGCAATGCCCACCACAGTCACTCTTTTGGGATCAAACACACAATCTTCCTCCTTGCCGCTTTTCACAGCCATCATGCCACATTTGGGGGGCACCCAGGCAGTGTCGTAGCCATGTGTGTGCCATGTGAACTGCATAGGATGGTTGTCCATGTCAATACGTTTGACGCGGCCAACGCGCACGCGCAGCTCGAAGACCACACGGTTTGAAGAGCTGCTGTTCAATGGATAACATTGTGCCTTTTTCTTATCACGGCTGACATACACACCCTTTCCTAACATGCCCCGCTGCGACTGCTGAAAGCCATTGGCAATAATGAGACGTGCGCTGGCAACGCTGGTCCCATGGTACATAGTGTAGACTCCCCGGTTCTGAGGTCTCTGCGACGGCTCTAGCAACACACCAGTATAAGAGGCACCATCGTCTACCACCTCCCAGCCATAGAATTGCACAGACATCCTGATATGAGAATGGCCTGCAGAGGATGACGAAGATTTGCAGCTGTGAAACACAAGAATGCAATAATTTGTATATTTTGATGAGCAAGAAGAAGAAGGAAAAATCATTTTCACTACTAATAACTACGCTCACTACTAGTAACTCACTGCTAACTAACTACTAATAACTAAAGATGACAGCATGAACATAAAACACTTTCAGAACTACCATTTCCTGAATGTTTCTCATTTTTCATGTTCACGTTCACATTCACATACTGTACACCTGTGCAATTATTTCTCACTTTTAATGTGTCCTCTTCATCCTTTGTTTCTTTTTGTGTATATTTAAAGACTATCTTGCTGTATTTCTTTTATAGCTTTTCGTACCATAGCTTGCTCTTCCCAGTGTACTTCATTCCTTCCTCATATTCTTAGACTAAATCTCCCGTGTGAGCGTAGCTTTCTTCTACAGCATAATTATGTACCCCCATGTAGAAAAAGGCTGTCTCATAACTACTTTATCAATGTAGCTCAAGGCTGATTAACGTTAAAAACGTGAACCTTACCGTAAATACGGAGAAGTTTTGTCTGTTTGTGTCCTTTAACTTTCTGATCAGTAGGTTTCGTTTACGGTGTTTGATTACGTCACTCAATGGTATGTGTTTTTTACCGTCAGGGCTAGGCCGGTTAGCTCAGTTGGTTAGAGCGTGGTGCTAATAACGCCAAGGTCGCGGGTTCGATCCCCGTACGGGCCACGAACTTTTTGTTTCTTTTGTTATCCTTCAGGTTTCAGACTGCTGAAAGATTGAGGCCTTCACTGACTGATTACCGACGCAACATAATCAATTCATATGAACTCCTGATTATTGGCCGAGCAGAATAACAAAAATCGATAAGTTACTGTCTCATCATGGTTGCTTTTAACATTATTTTAATATCTGTTAGGTCACACCATTATAGATTAATAAAGGAGTGTTGCAGGGTAACGTAAGAGCACAATGAAGTGAACAACATCACGACTAGCCAAACGTATCACGTGGCCCACCAATGCCCCTGCGTCCACCTCCTTTGCGAGATGTGTGTGGCCGAAATAGCTCAGTTGGGAGAGCGTCAGACTGAAGATCTGAAGGTCCCTGGTTCGATCCCGGGTTTCGGCAGTGTTTTGTATATGCCCCCCAACACCATCACGAGATCAAAAATCTAAAAAAAATTATACGATAAACGGAAGTACTCCTGCAGTTGAGGAGGTCTGTAAGATGAAAGTGACTGACATCTGTTTACAGAAACATACAGGTATTTATATATTTAAAAAATACATCATTTATTAGATAATACTAAAATAATATTCAAAACACAAGTTTATCAGTGTGATATCATTTAAGTACAATGGTATTTAAAGGTTTTACAGTCAAAACATTGCAAAGTTAAAAATGTAGTGAGTTGTGAAAAGGTAGGTATCTTACTGTGAATAGCAGCTCTTTGTGATTTGCTAATATACAGTACTTACTGGATCCTTTACCTGGTTTTTAAAGAGCAGGTAGATTAAATACAGTTAAAACAGCATTGTTTTTTTATTTTTAAAGATGAATGTAGTAACACCCAGAGGGTTTTACTTCCAAGCCTTTGATCCAAGCTTCTGCTTCAGGATAGGTGTGACAAGAAAAAACAAGTTCCTCTTCAGCGTATGTCACTAGTACTTGAGCACCTTGCTGCGGATGTGGCTGATATCCTTCTCAAGCTTCTCCTTGTCAAGGCGAGATTTGATGTCACATATCTGACTCAGTGATTCAATTGCATCATGCACAGACTGGAACCCTATTCAAACAGAGGCAGGGTGCATAAATCATCACTGAACATAAAGCATCTGAGGTGAAAATAATTCAGGTCATTGTTGCTGGATGAGGGATGTGCTATGATGGTACTGGAAGGACTTTCCTCCTGTGGGCTCATAACATTAAGTCTTTAAAAACCGTCCTAGTTCTAATTTTGCATTCAACCTGTCATATTTGTGTTTTACTTTTGATTTATTGACATCCTTCATCTTGCTCTGTCTCTTGTCCCTGTGGTCTCCCCCCTATTCTATGCTTAATTGCTCCCAATCATTACTTATATTTTTAATACCTAGTTAATTATGTAATAGTACATAGAGCTGATGCATTTTTATTACAGAATGTATTCAGTAACAGACTGTGGGGTTGAAAGGCTCCCTTTGAGATATTAAGTATCTTCTCTTTCCAGCTCCATAACTCAATGTCTTTCTTGCCACGAATATTTACAACTCTCATCAATTATGCATTTATTCTCTCATACCATCTCCTTCTTTCTTTTCATCCCACACTTAAAATAGCACAGTGGATGAATGGCTCTGGAGTGCTGTTAGCAGTGGCTGAGTAGTGATTCATAGATCAGTTTACCCATGGTCTTATTTACCAAGGGAAGTTTGGGCACTTTTCTATATGTCTGCTCTTTAATAAGAGCTGTGGAGTGAGAGAGACTGTCAGGAAGGGAGGCAGATGTGAGATCTAGTGTCAGGCATCCTGGGAAATGAGATGAGGATGGATGTCAACAGCAGCATGATAGGGAGACGAGCTAGAGTATTTGGCAGGCTAGTTGACTGCCTATTCCTGTGGATTGGCTCGCAGCATACTAGCTGTGTTGTAACTACATATGTGCAGGATAAGATCCTTTATACTACTGTTGTACAGCCAATTATTAGACCACATGATGAGCTGGAAAGCATCCGAGCTGAACTCCCGTTTAACATATCAACACCAAGTCAGTGACTACTGTAATTAAAGGAAACAATAAACATCTCATTTGTGGTAAAAATAAATGTTGGCTGCCTGGTGGGGTTAATCGCTTATATTCATTTTACGATTACTTATTATAAGTATTTTTCTTTTTTCCTTTCTTTCTATTTTTCAGACTCTTGTGAATTGCTCTCGCATGTCCATTATTTTCCTTGACGTGTATGGTGAAGAACATGCAGTACATGTGTGTTTGCTCTCTGATGACAGCAAGTTACCAGCAGTGATCACCCACCTTTGTGGTACTGCTGTTTGAGCAGCTGCAGCTCCTGATGAAGGTTGTTCTCCACTAAGGTTATTCTTCTGCTAAGTTTGTCTTCTGAGCGTTTCAGCTGATCATGCCGACTGCGGTCAGCCTGGTTCTGCTGGATGTCAAACTTCTCCACACGTGCCTCCAGGGCAAGCAGGCGGTCAGCCAATCTAGACTCCGCCCCTAACTAAGCACAGCATACACATGAAAATTCAGTTTTTAAACTTGGCGGAGCGTAGTTATATCATTTTCATACTATAGTCCACAACATCTAAAATTAATAAATAAATCATAGCAGAGGTGGGAAGTAATTAAGTAACAAAGTACAAATACTTTGTTACTGTACTTAAATAGAGTAAACAGTGTACTGTCACTGCAGTGGATGGAAATCAGCCAGGACAACTCATGAAACACGTCCTGACATCTGGTTGAATTCAGTTGTGTCCATCCACAAAGAGCAGCATCATAGACTACTGGAGCTCTCAATAGGTGAGTTGTGATTGTTTTCCCACACACTGAACCTACCTTTAACCTCTTGCTTACTAATTTTCCTGTTTAGAGGCAAAGTCACCCTCTACAATCTAGGCAACAGAAAATAGAGCTATTTTTTATTTTCCCTTTTTTCTCTGCTCATGTTCTACTTACCTGATTCAAGCTGAGTACCTTTGTTTAGAAAAATTCAACTTACTTCAACTTCACCTTTTACTGGAGTATTTTTCAGCACTGGTGTCTGTACTTCTACTTAAGTACAGAATGTCTGTTTACCAAAAGTGTGCCACACCATTGCACCACCAGCACCACCCTGAACCACTGATACGAGACAGGATGGATCCATGATTTATGGGGAAGAATTTGGTGTATACAACACGAATCATATATCCATCCTGTCTCGTATCAGTGGTTCAGGGTGGTGGTGGTGCAATGTTGTGACACACTTTTGGCCCCTTTGAGAGACTCACCAGACCACACAACATTTTTTCCATCTCCTATTGTCTGCTTTTAGTGAGTTGTGCAAAGTGTAGCCTCAATTTCCTGTTCACTGACAACCACACCACGTTCAAAGTCAGCTGAATCACCTTTCTTCCCCATTCTCATGCAGGTCATCTTGACCATGTCAATATACCTAAATATGTAGAATTGAACATGTGTACTTAATGAAGTTTTCAGTGAGTGTACATGTCAAACATTTTTAAACCATTATGTATATTGTACCATTTTGTCTTGTAATAGTGAAACCAGCTCCTGGTTGTCCTCGGCATGTGACTGGAGAGAGCTCTTGAGCTGTTGTTCTGTCCAGGTCCTCAATTTTGCTGTTTGCTCCTTGCCCTCGTCAAGCTCTCCTGTCATTCTGCAAAGACACAAGGAATACAAAGTGAACTGTAATAGCTTTACTTCTTTACATTTAGGTAAAGATTTTTCATTTCATAAATGTCTTAGGATCTAAAAGTTTACACAGTCTTGCAACTTTCAAGGACATATCAGTTCTTTTCTGCTAGTTTAGCCCTACAGGAAATAAAGTTTGTGTCTATTTAGAAAACCAATGCTTTATTGGCACTTCCACTTCTACTAAATAGCTTTCAAGTAAAAATGTGTGATTGTGTGATTGAGAATGAAAGTACTAAATTAATAATTTGTAACCCGTAAGTTTACTATAAAAGGAACATGCTTTAGGTTTAGCTGTTAAAAAGTCAGTGTTCATAATTTCACAGTCTGGTAATCAGACGTGAGATTTCATCAGCAACAGTGCTTCTTGTTTTGCTTAATGTCACGTCAAGCTCACCACTGAGAAATACCAAAACAGCAGTGTGAAAAACAGTGGTGGGAAATTTTGTGCTCTGTAGCTCTGAATGCTGTATTTGTATTTGGACCATATGAATATTTCTCTCTTTGTAATATCTGGAATACATTTGATGAACAGTACTGAAATGTTTCTGATGGAAGCTGCAACCAAACTGAATGAAATATTGTGTGGACTGTGTAAAACTATCGGACTCAAAAAGTACCTTGAGACCTTCTTTAGTCGTATTCCTCTTGTCTAAAGTGTCCTTGAGACAATCAGTAGACACTCGCCTGTGTGTCACTGCTGCAAATCATTTTTTCTGTACAGGTGTCACAATACTGCACTCCGTTATCATTCCAGCTGCCTAATGCAGTTCACGCTAACACTAGACAACATGACAGTTGGCTTGGCTCTTGTTAGATAAGTTTTCAGAATGCACTTGTCTGCACATATTTGAAAGTCAGCTTGTAAATGTAAAGGGGCAGTCTGTGATGCCCTTTAATTTGAAGTCCTTGTGGCCTTGTCTGGCATATTTATTTCATTTCAAATGTTTTTTCTGTTATATCTGCAGACATGGTCTCTAGTGCCCAACTGTCCCTGCATCGCCACCTCCAGCGGACACTGGATCTCATCACTTAAAAAACAAAGGTCATCCTGACTGACTACCTTTTTGAGACTAATGAGGCCTTTAATGACTAAACTGCATCTAAGAAAATCTCCCAGCAAGTGTGGCTCAGTGTAGTCATACATGAGACAGTCAGAACAAAAAGAAGCAATGACACCCAGGATTCAAAATCCAATAAACTCTCTTTGTAGACTGAACATTAATAAAAATAAAAAAAATCTTTCTGACATCAGCAGTGCCTACTTTCAAAAAATGACCTGGCCACTTAAAAACAAAAAAACAAATTAGGTTGAGTAGCGTGTAGACAACATCACTCGGTATGTTTCATCTTTTCCAGCTCTATCCATCAATGGTCAAGCACAACCTAGGTGGGTGGATGGATATATAATATATTAAATCTATAATCCAAATAAAATAAAGGAAGCCTCTTTTTTTTTGGGTGCTTGTTTTCAACATTATTATTGTGACGCATTTCAGAAACACAAAAATCGCCTATTTTTATCTGTTCTTTTGGCTCTAATATGATCAGTGGGCTGCTTTCCATTGCAGGTACAACATTATTAAATAGAACATATCTATCATTCACGTCTCTCTGTTTCTAAAATGTTTATATATTGCTTCCAGCTGACATTATTTCTCAGATGGAATAGTAAACGGACAACAAGCTTTCACCATTATTGTGCCTCCTGCATTAATATTTCAGGGTGAATGTGGCTTGGGAATGTGTAGCCCTGGAGCAGCTGTAACTATAGTTGGGAATGGTTGTAGGTAAGAATTTATGTTGGTGTTTTGAGGAACACTATTAAACAGCAAATCAACTAAGAAAGTTGTCAACTTTTCACAGTAGCTGCCAGAAAATGCATGATCAGCAGCTAAATTCATGGAATGACCTGGTGCAGTGTTGGGTGTCTCCAGGAATCCTTAGTACCACAACATTAGGTTTGTTGCATGATTAACAGTCTTACTTGTCTTCTAATAGCTTAACTTGTCTACGCAGATCAGACATCGAGTTTTTTAGGTCCTTAGAAGACTTTGTCAGTGAGGCCTCCAGTCTTCTAAGCTCAACATGAATCTGGTGACAAGAAAACACACAAACATAATCGTCAGCTTTGTTTCTGACCTTTACCCTTTTGTGTTTTCTGCTTTGCTGAGCAGACTGTGCTATGCACCACTCCTGTGGCCACTCATGACTGAGAGTTACACCGGTGACCCACTTTGTATGCGTTTTCAATTATTTTTATGGTAGGCGCTTGACCACTGGCCCACAGCTAATGTGCTGTCATCACAGTGATTTACCACCCCATACTACCAACACAACTGAAGGCTGGCTGAATCAGCGAGAGTGTTGAAGGCACTTTTGGTTGCTTTAGGTCAAGTAAAAAGCATTATAATATGTGACATACTTATCGTAATCCAGGGTTTTCATATTTTCTATAATGCTGACCTTGTCAAAAAAAAAAAGGTAGGGTTTGGGCGGGAGGTGTAGGTGGGGGTGGGGTGAAAGCTTTTTTATGACGACCTTGACATCCCATTTGAATTTATTTCCCATCTCATTTCTTTCTTTCAAACTCTGGTTATGACTGAGCCTCTGAGTTTGTTTGATAAGGTCAAACTCACTCAGCAGCAGTAAGCTCCAAATGTCATCCCATCACAGCTCAGCTAGCCATCCTCTCTCGGATAAACAGCAAAATATACTCACTGGGCCACTTTGTTAGGTACACCTGTTTAACTGCTTGTTAACTTACTGGATTTAAGTATGTGGATGTGGTCAAGATGACGAGCTGAAACTAAATATTTTGGATGAAAGGTTATTTAAGCGACTTTGAACATGATATGATTGCTAGTGCCAGGTTGGCCTGGTTGTTTAAGAAACTGCTGATCTACTGGGATTTTCCTGCACAACCTTCTCTAGGGTTAGGGTTAAGATGACCTGAAAAGGAGAAAATATCCAATGAGTGGAAGTTCTTAGGGTGACAATGGCTTGTTGATGCTAAGCGTCAGAGGAGAATGGTCTAAAAGCTTCAGGCTGCTGAGAAAGCAACCTGAAGTAAAATAACCACTTTCTATATCCAAGATATCCAGAAGTTCATCTCTGAACATAGGACATGAAAAATTGAAGCAGATGGGCTACAGCAGCAGAAGACCACAAAATGTACCTCTCCAGTTACAATTTGCCTGGACTCACTAAAACTGCACAACTGAAGATGTTGCCTGGTCTGATGAACCTGCAATTGCTGTATTCAAAAGTTAGGGTCATCATTTGGCGCAAACAGGATGAAAGGATGGATCTGTCCCGCCTTGTATCGGCAGTTCAGACTGCTGGTGATGATGGTGTGATGATGAGTATTTTCTTGTTTGCTTTGGGCCTCTTAGTACCAGATGAGTATTGTTTGGACACCACAGCCTATGCGAATATTGGCCTCCACAGTCAGGAGAGCACCTTTTGCATGTGGCAGAATAAGAGATTCAAAGCATGGATGCGCAGCTGACATATCTGTAGCAATCGTGAAATACTATCATGTCAATATGGACCAAATTCTCCAAGGAGGTTTTCTTGCACCTTGCTTAATCTATGCCACAAAAAATTCAGGCACCTCTGAAGTCAAAAGGAGGCCCAACCCAGTACTAGCAAGGTGTACCTAATAAAGTGTACAGTGCGGATAAATACTGTTCATATTACCAGATTATGATCCTTTCAATGCATCAAGCTTTCAAATAAACGCAACCTCTCTCTACAAATGTAAAAAAATAATAATGACAATAACAAAACAGTACATTATCCTTTAGTTTGGGAACAGAGAATTCAAATGAATGAATGAATATTGTGTTGAGCGTGTGTTTAGATAGAGGAGATGCAAGGGGTAATGATCATGAATGCCAGTTCATGCCAGTATGCTATCATACTGGAGAATAATGCTTTTGATGGCATCAATGTCACAGAGATAAAAAAAAAAAAAGAACCTAAATATGGCAAATACGTGTTACAATATTAACTTATGACTTGTGAAAACTCTCATTGGGGCACTGGTGTAGTAGCTGATTTGCACACAGTGCAAAGTTTTGCTCAACTGCTCTCGCAACTCCTTTTCTGCTAAACCCTTGTCAGCATGCATACGTTTTTTCCCCACCTTGTCCTCCAGCTCTTTGAGCTGTCCATTCACAGCTTCGCTGAGCTCTCGAACCTCCCTCTGCAGTCTGATCACCTGCTGCTCTCTGAAGCTCACGTCAGCGCTCAGCTTGGCAATGCTGGAATCACACCTGCGATAATAGGTGGGGAAGAACAGAGAGCTGGTGAGAGACCACTGAATGAGAAAAATGGGATTGAAGGGAGTTTGGGGAAGGTGTGAAGACAGAGGGATGAGCAAAAGACTAGAAAAAAAAAAGTTGTATAATAGAATCACAAAATTAGAATGAAAAAATGTTACACTGCTGTTATCAATTTGCAAAGCAAGATCATGAAATAAATAAGAAGAAGAGGCTCTGGTAAAACCTTAGCAGTGAGGATGGTTACTCTGAACAGATTTCAGTGGTCACTTGTTTGCATCTACTAATGACTCACTGGTACAAAGACGCTCCCACCCACCCAAAAAATAACTATGAGAATAAATTAACCCTCTCAAGGCAGACGTTGCCGATTTGCAACAGTTAAAAACTAACAACCTGATTACCCCACATACATATTTTATGAGGTTTTTTTTACTCAGAAAACTTAATTTGAACCTGAGAGGGTTAAGTGAGAAATCTGTTTATCACCAAAAGCAATTAGGACGTTGCAAAAACACAACTTACAGCCTCTGACTTGGAAAATGTTGCTTTTAGCAAACTTTGAATTCAGTTGAAGTGATAAGTATCAACTGCAGCAACTCTTTTAATCAGCATGGCAGTACAGCTTCCTTCCTTTCATTGCTTGGTTCAAGATGTCAGCCTGTTAAGGCTTTCTCTTACGGCTTTATTGGGCCTGCCTGTGTGAGTGCGTGTCTTTAAAATATTTGTGATAAACGATTGGTCTGAAATTTGAGTTTTTCCCTGGAGACCAGTCCAGTGCTTCTCTTAATGGCTTCACTGACCAGTGCCAACCAACACAAAAACCACTGGCCCTTAGCTTACTTGATTAATTATGAACAACATGAAAGAGGCTATCACACTGACCACTTGTTTTTCTTCTTCTCTCTTTATTGGACCCTGCATCAGCCCCATTTCCACCCCCTGAAATCTCACTGATATGCCTGCTTTGTAAATGACATATCTTTGTCTTCTATCTCTTTACACATGAAATGCACTGATCAGTGGATGCCAGAAGTGTTAGAAATAATTAGGTCTAGGCAACTACACATCAAAAGGCCAATCACAATGTATGTGAGATGGCAGACACTTTTCAGCAATCCAGTGCACTAAGTGTGATGTGCACAGAATCACAGAATAATGAGCAAGTGCTAATCAGCATCTAAAGTGCATTTAAACCTGGGAACCTCACCCAGGTGGGAACAAAATAATTGCATCTGTGCATGTCTGTGTGTATGCCAGGACTGATTTGAGGTCGTGCAATGGCGAAGAGTTGCTAGACAGAATGAAGGCTAAACAATTTCACTCCATTAGGGAGTGAGAAAAACACGCAGGGTATCAGCGAGGAACGTCAGATCACTCCAGTCAATTGAAATAATGCCTTCTTGTTTCCTTCACTTGCTGTTCAGTTTTTTTCTCAGCATTTGAAAGCAATGTCTGACTCAGGACTCACACAGTGCCTACCTGGCTACTCTTCCTCTCAGGTCTCCGACGCCAGCTGTGTTTTTCTGGTCCATGTTTTGAACAGCGTGTGCCACTCCAGAGGTGACAGAGTCCCGCTGGGCCATCTCTTTCTCTAATTCCTTTACCCAGAACAAAGACAGCATGTTTCACATTTGTTAAAAAAAAGATGTGACTGTTTTCCCAGCAAATTAAGTGAAAAAACAGATGAGGAAGTACATGATTTGTTTGGAAAGTACCAGCAGGAAGCTTCAGATTTGAACTAATTATGCAGCATTCAATGCCATCAAGATAAACATTAAATGCAAACGACACGTGCTTCGCTACAAAAGCTCACTTAAAACTGGCAGAATTTCATCAGTGCACTTGCATGACTGATTGCTGTATAGGCTGCATGTGTAAAATAACCTCAAATCAAATGGATTACCCTCTGGCATTATCATGAAAGCAAACAGTGTGACTGTGTGATGTGGCTTACATTTGATTTTGCAAAGTATTCAGTCCTTTACTTAGTTGATTGCTTCTTGATTTGCAGGATTAATTAGTTTGTTGGCATTCATGTAATATTTCAAACGATGATAGCCTCTAATCATGCTAATGGCCCATTTGGTATACACTAATGAAGCTGAATGTTTCATTCCGGTGCCCTACTTCTGTAAGGCAGCTTTCAGAGAGTGGTTTGATGTTCTGCTCAGTGAAAGATGACTCCAAACACCCTCACACTTGTTCCGCGAGACTAAGATCCGTGTACTCTTTTGCAGTTCTTCTGCTTGACTGTCAGGAGAATAGCTGTTAGAATTTAAACGCATAACTTGAGAGTATTTAGTTAACCACATACTGTGCACATGATCACTTTATGCTTATACAGACAAAATGTGCATGAGCTGATGATGGCGAGAAGTCAAGTAGGCTTTATTTGAGCACTGCACCATTCTATCAGGTGTAATCAAATCAGCTGGGAGTTTGTGGGCATGAGTTGGCGTGGGTGTGCTGCACATCAAACAATACAAGGAGAAGAGAACAGCCAGAAAAGGAGACAATCAGCACATATGCTCGACTTCACCCACCTAAAAGACGTACAGCATATTCCACACAAAACAAGAAAAAGACTTACACAATACTTTAATACCTAAACATGCATGCAACAGCACTTTTCACAACTTACTTCCACCACCTTGCATACCTGTATGCCCATGCTGAGTTGTTTAACAATACGTGTAATGGTGAGTATGTGATTCTCCAACAGCTTACGGGACAGTGCCTCAATTTGGACAGAGCCATGGCTGGACTGCAGACCAGCTGTCACCTCCTCTTTGATTCTGAGAGCTTGTTCTAGCAGCACAGCTAGCGGCCTATCCTGACTCCTCAAACGACCTTCCAAGACATCTGGCCTTAATCAGGAAGTAAACAAAAAAATATCAAGCTTATAATGTTTTAGAAGCTCTTTGTTGGGGTTTTTAGTATTTAGAAGATGCAAAAACATGTGTTGCAAATATTGCAAAGTCATGTTGAAGAAGAAAAAAGTCATTTTAAAGTGCAATTCTACAAAGAGTTGATCTACTAAGAGAGAGAATGTAGATGGATTGAAATGTTGTACATTGGTTTTCATGCCCTTGGGTTCTGTCTTCATGTCCCTGTGCATGCTGTGTTGGACCTGTCTGAGGCTGTTGTGGATTAAGGATTAATTTTATCAGTTTGATTCACAGCGGTGTCGAAAGGTTCACAACCTTAATTCAATCCCATCAGCGAGCGGTCGACGCACATCTTATTCACCTCTTAAGCGCAGATCAGATTATAAACTGAATTAGCAACCCACACAAATTGAAAGTGAAAAGTAAATGACTGCAATATACTGAATGTATGCACTGAATATGGATATGTGAATGAGAAAGGTTACCTTGTGTGACTCTGTGTGTCAGACTGATGATGAGACATCCTTATTGTCTACAAAGAGATATGTATTAAATATATTAGTGTGATAATTTCCACTCAAATATCCTCCTTATCATTCTTTTTGTTAAAATAAGCATATTATATATTCTATCTCTCACTGGGAGCATCACGAGACATTTTGAACATTTTGGATAAAGACGTTAAACAAATGTTGCTATTTTTTTATTTGTCATATAAGAATACTCACAGGTCTGTGCTGTTCTTCAGCCAGCTTTAGAGATTATGTGTTTGTGTTGTCACTTGGTAACTGTGGTCTCCTTTCATGGGGGTGTGCCTGCCTGCCAGTGTGAACAGTCTTGCAAAAAAAAAAAATGCATTGTCTATGTGGCGAGGCAGTTTAACTCTGCAAAATATTTGATGACCAGAAAGCGTGAAACATAGTTGTAATTCGTAGAAATGTTGCTGAGAAACTGGTCAGCCTTCTTAGCAGCAGTTCTCGTGACAACATACCTCAAAACACCAGCTTTTAAAAAAGCGGTTATTGAGATAACCTAATACCTTTTTCAATTTTTTGCTGTTATTTTTCATCCCAACTTTGATAGTTTGTATTGCCTTCAAATATTGCATTTGACACTCCTGTTCCCTGGAGTTTGTCTTACTGTATTATGCTAATAGTTTAAAATACAGTTTAATCCAGGCTCTTTGCACTGGACCACGAAAGTGCATCATTAAAGCTCCTCTCTATTAGTCCTACAAGCCAGAAAATGCTTATCGTGGAGAGCTTTAAATAAAGCTTAGGGTGGGCAATGACTGTACAAATACAAATGCTCTGTAATTTAATTAAAATCCAGAGTCACTAAATCCCTTTATTACACTGATAAAAGTAAGACAGACTCCCCCATGGATCGTTTGGATTTGCTTGTTCCTGTGGGAACAAGGGTGGCAGACATGTTTTTTGATTGGAAACACTTCAAATTAAATAAAAAAGCAAGCTCAATCCTGTGTGGCTTCTTCGGTGAAGAACTTAACCTTAATTTATTGAGGCTACCAACAACGAGGAACCGCTTGTACCAGATAGGTCAGGTTCTAGACTGAGCCTGTGAAACACAACATGTGATTATTTGTACAAGGCATACTCAACTCAATTTAAAGGCTTGACCCAACCCTAAGTATTTGGATTCAGGTGAACAGATCGGATCTCTGCTTCGTTTAATCACAGGATACACAGTGTTTCAAGTGTGGTAGTGGCTCTGAATTAGATGTAGTTATACTCATGAAAGAAAATATTTCATGTCTATGTATCTCTCTCCCTCTCTGTTACACACACACAGTGGATTAGTCTCTTATCAATGGGATCAAGGTCATTAAGAGGAAAGGCCTTCTCAGAGCAGACTCATCAGTTTTCCATGGAAGCCCTATAGAAAAGCCTGGGAGCCGAAAGGGACAGTTTGGCTTACACCACGATTTACTTAACTTAAAGAGACGTTGAGAGCATTTCACCATCCTGTTAGCTGTAAATGAAAATGGTTCATTTTGGGAGATGACAGAAATTTCAAGCAAAGAGAACCTGAATCTCTAATCCATCCCCGAATTCATGGCACAGCACCAAAGACTGATGATAATTTTCTGATTAATCCGTGTTCTTCATTCTTACTGTCTCTGTGTGTTTGTTTCTAAGAGAGAGAGGACACAGTGTTAAACAGGAGGGCAGAGAACAGCCAGCACTGAAACAAGGGCCGGGGGGTGGGAGACGTAATGAGTTATTATACATCAGCGCAGCAACTAAAGAGAGAGCTGAGAGAGGGGAGGCTGCTCAGTGATGCCTGCTCGCTGCTGCACGTGGGTGATAACATTCAGTGAAACATATCCAGACTTGCTTAAACAGCGCGAGACCATCCATGTGACAAAGGGGACATCAAGTCTCTGTCTGCACAGCTTTCACAAGGTCAAAATAGTGGAGGGTTAAAAAAAATGCACGTATGATAAAGTACTGAAATACAAAGATATAAACTCAGATGGGAATGACATGGGACCCACAATTAAATTATAAACATCTCCACGAGGCACTGTGGGGTACTGTTATGCAATCGCCAGCATACAGATTACCCAGTCAAGTGACACGGTTGGCCAGAGGGCGGCGTGGTGCACCCTTCGTCCTTCATTTGAATACAATAATTAATGGGTAAGTTTGCCTAACCCCTGGTTAAACACCGTGGACGAGAGTCAAAGAAAAGCGGGCGAATAATTTTAAAATCTCTTACGCAATCGCGATGAAGTCACAGCACGTGCTCCAACTTTCATCGCTGAGGTGAGATATCTTAAATCTTACATGAATTCTTGCCTTCCTTCTAACTAGCCCACTGCACAGTGGGACATAAAAATTTACAGAGTAGTCTGCAGAGGCATTCTGCAAGGTTCGCAGGAAGATTGACACCCTCCTTCATCGTCGCACAGCGCGTTTCGTTCTTGGCGCTCTAAAAACTGATCATCAGTGGAAGTGCACCCGAGCCGCAGCTGCCCAACTGTGACATCCGTCCACTATACAGAGTGTGCTCAGGCTGGCTGGCTGCTGCACAGGCACAATGGAGCAAAAATCACCGAAACACGAGAGCACAGCCAAGGGGCAAGAGTCCTTGTCCTACCAGCGGAGAATGTGGAAGAATTTCCAGGAAAAAACCAAGCCGTGGCTGAGCCCGAAACTGGGATCAGAGCGTCGTGGTGCCGGGGGCGCGGAGGGCAGCAAGAAGGAATCGGGGCTTTGGATGTTTAAGAGAAAAAAGAAACAGCTGGACCGGGTATTTTCATCGTCGCAGCCGAACCTATGCTGCTCTACTCCGGCACCTTTTGAGGGAGACAAGGCTCTCGGAAGCGATGCGGTTCCTGGGACCAGCAGCGGCGGACAGCCTCTGCTACAGCTTCTTGGCACGGCTTCTGGGGCCACGGGGAGCAAACCAGAGCTCACGGCGCACGGAAGCCCAAAACTCCCGATGTCCCAGCTGATGGTGTACCAGCAGAAGAGCTCCTCTCTCGGCTCAGCGTGCTTCGAGAAGCTGGTGGTGGACCCGGCCGCTGTGACGGGAGAGGAGGAGCAGCTGCGTAAAAACGCAAGTGATTCTGTGAGTAAAGATTCGTGTAGTCCCAAACGCACACAGGAGCTTTTCTGTTGTCGTACTGTTTTTTCCTCTTTCCCCCCTAAAGCCTGAAAATAGAAGACAGCAGGCAAGACTTTATTGATTTGCTAATTCAATAAACGAGACAAGTTTCATGATTGTGCTGATGCGATGTCCCACTGCCCCTATGCACTCATCTGTTTCCAGTCCGCTGATTTCTTTACTGTCTCCACCATCGAGGACTGTATTGGCCAGATATATACATCCAGTTTCGTTGTAGATTTATGTGGTGATCATAAACAACCTCCCACCTTACAAGCTAATTTGTTTGGTATCATTTTATCATCACAGTTTCTCCATATACGTCGAGCAGACCAGCTGATTTCAGTTTCAAGTCTTTCCTGGTAGGGTTTTTAAACAGACAGCATGCTCTGATGCCATTGGCTTTGTTTAGCCTGCGCACAAACGTTTCTTCCAGGGGGACTGTCCCCTAGACTCACGACCATCTGTCTCAGTGTCCTTGCCTTTAGACAGAGGCTGCAACAGGCCCGTGCATGCCCACAGGTTCATCCTGTCTTTTTTGTTTTCATGAAAAGTGGCTGGTTGTCAAACCAGCGGCACTGGTGGAGATTGATGGCAGGTATATTCCCACACCACACATCATGCTGAGTCAGGGTGCCCCAAGAGAAACCATATGGCAGCAAGCATGAAGGCTAATGGTAACGATTGCATTCACAAAAATCATTCAGCCCAAAACATCAAAGAGAAAACTTCAAGTTTTTAAGTTTCAGTTTCAGTCAAATAAAATGGAATGTCATTTTCAATGTCATAATATTAAATCTCATGAGAACAACACTAAAGATACAGCATGCATAAAATCATATAGGCACATTTTCTTTCACTTGCTCCAAAGCTTTTCATCTCATCATTTTTGAAGTGCTCCAGACTTTTCTGAGCATCATCCAGATTGCTGTCTGAAAGTGATTAAGCACATTAGCACACGTTTCCCTACAGAGGTTGGCAAAAGCTCTGTTATCCATTAAATCTGTATAGGAAAAGTGCACCATGCTCAGCTGTAGAGGTAAATGAAAGAATGCAGTGACTTCATTGAAATTGATCTTACAGCTTCGTCAATAAGCCTTTCAGTTACATAATGTAGAGAAATGTCATTTTGCCAAATAAAGTTGCCGCATTCAAGCATTAGTTACTTCCTATCGCTGCCATCTTTATCCAAGTTTTTTTGGTCACTTGTTGGCCCTTTCCTTTGCCCGAGAAGAAAGCAGTGGCATAATCTTCCGAGGTTATAGTGCATAGTGCAGCGTTATTGTTCTATCTTATTAGTTTTACTGTATACCTCTATACCAAATAGAGTACAAAGTGCATGATCTGGATCTAATAGTGGAACTAGGAATGGAAAAAAGTGCAACATGAGATGATGGGTGATGAAAGGAAGTAAAGGTAATGAAGACAGATCTAATGGGGTTACAGGTAATGAGACATGACTAGGGGATGAGTTGAGACCACATGAGATAAGATGATATGAAGTGGGAAAAGAGCAGATTAAGATGAGATGCGAACAAGTGAAGAGACAGGAGATGAGGACAGATGAAGTAGGATTGGGTTTGCTTCTTTAATACCTGAGGGAAAAATAGTTAAAAACAAAAAACACACTGACAAATAATCTAGCTTTGCATCATCATGCATTTGCACGTGCATTTTCGTGCATACACCCTGATTGCACAGGTTTGATGATGCATTTGTGTTTCCTCAGCCAACAGAAAATGTGACACTAAAAAATGTACTTTTACTGTTAGAATAAGTATTCTAGCTAGCATTTCATAAATGACATAAGAGAATATGTAACATGAAAATTCATTTTGTAATTTGATTTGGAAAGTGAGAGATGTAAGGGATTGCTGCCAAGCTCTGTGAGTAATTTCATTGTTGACTCAAGTGCATTTAACTTTGCTGTTTTCAATGCAGTGGAGAGGTTTGTGAAAGTTTTTCTATATGTGTTCGCAGTGGCTGCAGTCAAACATGACTGATATTTGTGACATTAAGTTTCAGCGCCCTTTACATCATATTCATTTATTTTTTTTAAACATATCTATGAGTTGCGATTTTACTTTTTCCTCTTTCATTCCATCTGCACTCACTGGGTTGGACCCTCTTTTGCTTTCACAGTCGACTTAGTTCTTTTTGGCATAGATTCAACATGGTCCTCCAAACATTCCTCAGAGATTCTGGTCCATATTAACATGACATGACAGTTGGTGTGGATTTGTTGGCTGCACATCCATGATGTGAAACTCCTGTTTCGTCACATCACAGAAGTGCTCTATTGGATTGAGATCTGGAGGCCATGGAGACCAGCTGAACACAGTAAACTCATTGTTATCTACAAGAAACCAGCTTGAGATTATTTGAGCTCTGTGATATGGTGTGTTATATGTTGGAAGCAACCACGAAAAGATGGGTACATTGTTGTAATAAAGGAATGGACGTGGTGTGCAATGATACACTGGTAGGCTGTAGTGTTTAAATGATGCTTCACTGGTACTAAAATACATAGAATGTCTCAGACATCCTCCTCAATATTACACCACCACCAGAAGCCTGAACCATTGATAGAATGCTTTTATGAAGATCAGCCACTGTCTTTCTAATCTTCTGTTGTCTAATTTTGGGGATCCTG